ATTTCTAGAGACACTCAGGTAGTAACTAAATGGTACCTGCATCTGTTTCTAGTTGCTGAATTCCACAGCACATCAAGGTTTCAGACCAGAATTCATTCAATCACCTAATTAAACCAAAAAGGGTCAAGAGTCTTCTACAAACAGTCTCCAAACTGGGCCTGGCTACACTGTGTAACATCCGCATCTGCAATGCATAGACACCTTCTGGGTGGATGTACAGCCCTGCCCAGTGCTCCTCCCCCATGCCACAGGGAACGAGGGAATGGGTCCTGGAATTCCTCACCCTCAAGCATGCGTACACAGCTTCAAGCGTGCATGCATAGCAAGTGTGCATACATAGTAATTGTACAGACATAGCATTTGCACATACACAGTAACTATGCATACACAATAAGCTTGTATGTGCAGCAAGCCTGTATACAAAGCAAGCATGCATACACAGCTCCAAGAATGCATACACAGCAAGCGTGCACAAGCAGCAAGCATACAGCATGACGTTCCCTGTCCAGAGAATTGCAAAAGCAAAAGCCTCCTCTGAAAAGAACACTCCTCTGAAAAGGCACACACAGCCCCAAATAGCCCAGCTCCCAAACTGCCTAAGAAGTGGGTATGGCCCCTTAAGTAAAAATAGCACTGCTTTGGTACCATAAAAATTTCATAACATCCATTTTGAAAATGTAAATACTGCAAAAAAATTAATGGGATTCTTATTAATATTCATTTTCAGCTTCCCATAAATTTGTTGTTTTAAGTAACACACAGCAATTTTATCAAACATAAATATCAACCTCAAATTTACAAAGCTACATACAGCCAAAAATGAAAGTGGAATGAGCCAGAGAACACGGCTCAGAGCACGGGGCTCCAGGACCTGGGCAGCAACAGCTGGACACAGCAATGGCAAAAAAAAAAAAAAAAAAAAAAAAAAAAGGCCCGGCAACAGGCCAGCCAGCTCCCAAAACCTCGTGGCCCAAGGGCATCTGCACTGCTCCCAAAACAAGCTGGGAAATTTCACAGACCGGGAAAATTTTAAGTCAACCCTCCTGGGAAAGGACAGGGTTAAATAAAGGAAGGGATCACCTTTTGGATCTGCCGAGGGTGATGTGAAGTTGGTGTGTATCCTAGGGAAACGATGCTCCTGTTGTATCAGAAGACATCTTTACACACACATCAGCACAAATTATAAAGGGATATGGTCCATTAATGATACAGAACTAAAAACTAAACAACCCTACCACGCAGGTTTTCCTTAAAAGATAACTGTGTCCAGGAAGATTAGCAAGTCTTCCTGCAGCCTTCTCTATTTTTCAAATTAGCTCTCAAAGTAGAATTAATAGTGTTCTCATAGCAGAGTGAAGATGTCATTCTCCTCATCTCCAAAGAAGAAACGGGATATTCATCACTAACTCCATCAGTGAACGTGCCCAAGCGTGATCTGGACTGTGCCCATACCCATGACACACTTCTCACACAACACGATATTGAGAAAAATGCAATGCCAGAGCCTGGACAAAAAATGTATTCTTAAATACAGACAGACAAAACCAAAAGGAAAAAAGAAGGAAGGTTGTTTCCAATTACAGAGCAAAGGTAAAAACATGGACCCAGGAATAAATCTGATTTACTATAAATTAAGAATAATTTTATACCAACTGCCTTGAAACTGATTACTATTATAAAAAAAAAAGTAAAAAATAAGTAATGTAAAAGTCAAGGCATCTAAAAAAACTGAGCTATATTTTCATCTCATAAAACATAAAAATAAAAAACTACAGACTTTTTTTTTATTTGGGGGTTGTCATCATGGGGTCTTGGGTTTGTTTCTTAAATAACAGGCCTTCTGTATGAAAAACTGCTCCTAAATTCAGTAACTAGATAACAGCCATCATTTCTAGGCAAATATATAAACTGAGGTAGTCGAGATGTCTTGATAAGATCTGAACTCGCAGATCTCACGGAAGAGGGAAGGGATGACCCTTATGAGACCTTACATGGTCCTTACAGTCATTCTGAGGAATAAATAAGGAAGGATTCTGGGGCTTCCTGCCTTGTAAGACTAAACTAACTGCTTTTTTCTAAAGGTAAATAGCACTTTTTATTATTATTATATTTTACTATAATGTACAAACTAAAGATAAAATATCATGCACAGAATTCAAGACAAATGTGTACTTCCTAAACGTTTATGTATGTGGCAGTCCCTAAGACTCATTTTGAGACTGCTATCTAAATACTTATTGCAAAAGAAAAAGGAAAGGGAACAAACTAAATCATAAGACGGTTTGTTTCCATCTTGAGAAGACCTTCCCCTCAACAGGAAGGTTTTATTCCTGGTGACAACAAAACAAACTGTCGCCAAGCCATCTGCCTAGAGTCAAAAATGAAACCAAAAGTATTAAAAACCAAAAAGATTTACTTTTCAATTATTTAATATGACTGCATTTTATGACCTATATTCTGGTATAATCTAATATTATGGACAAGTGGCTACCTAGCCCAGTTATCATAACAAATACTAAATAATACTGTTCTTCCAAAAGCAAAACAAACGGGAAAAAAAATGAAAGTATAAAAAGAAACATTCTATGTTATCGGCAAGGTACCTAAGAGAACTATGTGAATTGAGGTCGTAAGTCTGTCCCTTTTTTCTCAGAGATAAAAAAAGCAATTCCCGAGGGCCACACTGAGGCCATAATGGACATGCTCTCATTCAAAGAAAACAAACAAACAAATACTTGCAATGATTGGTACCACTAAGAAATAATACTCTAAAAGCAACACGAACCTACAACTGCCTCTGACTTCCTCCCTTTACAGTTTACAAAGATGAGAATTTTAATTATGATATGGGCTTATTTTTACCAGGCTCCTCTTTCACAATTACTGTGTGGATCAAAAACAAAAACTGAAATCACAAGTTCTTCATCAAGAACAGAGAAAATGTTTTATTGAAGTAGAACTCCATGGACTACGTAGATTTGGAAACAGCAGATATCGGGTACCAACTAGGAGTCACTCAATTACTTGTAAATTAATGCCTTTACCTAACAAATCTATCCTGATACACAACTATTATTAAAATACACCTTCATAAAACAAATTAGCTAAATACAAAGAACCATTGCTATTCCTTCCTAGCAGATTAAAAACCATCACAAAACTTCACAGCAGAAAGACGTGCACAGAGGAAATATTATTTGGAAGAAACAGTACCGACTACAACTTGCGTATAATATGCTTGCTCTAATTCATAAGCAGTTCAAATAAATCTCACGTTATTTAGCCTAACAAAACAATCAAGGGGAAGAAAACAACATGGGGGGGGGGGCACCTCTATGTGCTACAAACCAACCGAGGAGCAGGCTTTTAGAATTTCACAGAAATATTCATTGTCTCTTCCAGTCAATTGTTCTCTACAAAAATTAGTTTCATTTCATGGATTTTAAAATATGCCAATTCTAAGTTACACTCCTCCACATGACCAGCTTAAAATGGTCACAATTACAAGAACATAGATCACAGAAAAGGCATGGCTTCATTCTGATGTTAAGCTAATTAAGAATCACCAAATATATAGCTTTCTTCTGAGTTTAGATAATTAAACATCAGCAAGAAATATTACTGCAATGGAAATACTAAAATCTTAACGTATTAAACTGTGTGCTGATAGAACTAAAATATATTCACAGTTAAATCTGTTAAAAATCAGATTTTTATAAAAGCTCAACAAAGGCCAAACTGGTACGACCTGTGCTTTAATTATTTCAATGCTCCTATCTTCAATCTGCAATTAAAGTCCACGATAAATGTAATGTTCATATTGTAAGATTGCCATCAAAGACTCGAGTTTTATAAATGCCCAATACTGGACAACAGCATGTTTCTCTGTATCCAATCCTCTTATTACTAATTCTGATTCATAACAATTTAAGCTCTAAATAGTATTCAACCTTCCATCTGCTTGGAACAGAGTTCAGTTATTATTTGTGGCAGGAATTTTTGTGACTGCACCGCTCCGCACTTCTATTTACATCAGCAGTGCTAAATGCCCAATGGTGAGAGGGGAGCCAATCAGATGGCAGATTAGATGTCAACTCAGAGGCAGCTGTCTGGAGACTATTACAGCCAGTTTACCTCCACAATTCAAATTCCAAACCTTGCAAAGGAGATCAAGTAAGTCTTTAGGCTCAGCCTACTAGCAAGAGACAGCGAGAGCGCAAGACACTTCCTAACATCGCTGTAGGACTCGGGCGACAGCAAAACCAAGAAAACCCACATAAATGCGATCCAGAAAGATCCATTTTCACTGGCCTACTACCTCACTAGGGTTGCCGAATAAAAAAAGGAAAGTCTAACCCATGATCAAAATAAGTTCCATCGATCCGGAATCTATTCCTTCAACATCGCCTCCCGGTTGAAGGTGACTCCTTCCAGGCAGCCCTAAGCCCCATAATGGATCTCCCCGACTGTTCTTAGGAACGAATCGATGTTATTTTACAATATTTCGCCTCCTCGTCGTGGTAAATCTCGGTCTTATTCCTGCTGGTAAACATCCAAACTCCAACAGCCACGGCTGTCACAAAGCTAACCTCGATTATCCCTGCCTCTACCTCGCAGGGGAATGGGAACCCGACCCGGGCCCGGAGGAGAGAGAAAGTTGCTCTCTCTCCGCGCCCACTCGGGGCACACCGTGGGCGCCGGCGGAGCCAGGCCGGGCCGCGGATCCCGGCGCCCCGAGAGCCCTCCCGGCGGGCGCGGCCTCGGGGGGGACCGCGGTCCCTTCCCGGGCCTGGGGCGGGCACAGGCTCGCAAGCGGCAGCGGGGGAGGGCGCGGGGCGGCCCGGTTCCCCGACCCCGCCAGATCCGGACTCGGCCGGGCGGCGCCGCACCCCCGCCACCCCCGTCAGCCGCGGGGAAAAGTACCCGGCGGAGAAAGAAAGTCAGGGCTCGCTCGCTCGCGAGGCCCGGGCGGAAGCAGGCCCGGCCGGCGCGGGGGTTACCTGGGATCTGCCCATGGTCGGTCCGGGGGTGCCGGGGCTCATCGCCGGGTGACTTCTTTGTTGCGCGGCCGCCCAGGCCGGGCTGGCAGCGGCATACTGGGCGCCCAGGTCCTTGCCCAAGCCCATGCCCGCGGCCGCCTGCTGGCCACCCGCCGCCGCCCCCGCCGCCGCCGCCGCCTGGGACTGGGGCTGCGACGGCGGCGGCGGCGGCGCGCTGGGGCTGCTGTAGTCGGGGTAGCTGCCGCCGTAGCTCCGCATCATGGGGCTGGGCGAGGTGAGCAGCTGGTTGAGGGTCGGCGTGGCCCCCGACGGGTGCTGGTTCTGGCCGGCGAAGCGCTGGAAGCCCCCCGCCGCTGCCGCCGCGCCGGCGGCCGCCTTGCTGAGGCTCGCGGCCCCGCCGCCCCCGGGGCCCATCATCATGCCGCCGCCCTGCTGCCGCGGGGAGCTCAGCACCCCGTACCCCGAGGACGAGCCCCCATAGCCGCCGCCGCCGCCTCCTGCTGCTGCCGCCGCCGCCGCCGCGGCCGCCGCCGCCGCCACAGCTCCGGCTCCTGCTGCCGCTGCCGCTGCTCCTCCTGCTCCTCCTGCTCCTCCTGCTCCTCCTCCTCCTCCTCCACCTCCTCCGCTGCCTCCTCCTCCTCCGCCGCCGCCGCCCGCGCCGGGCCGGCTGTAGCCCGGATAATGGTTGTACTGGCTGTTGGGGTACCCTTCGTGGGAGTTCTGCAGGGGGTCCATGCTGCTGGGGGCCCCGGCGGCGGCAGAGGCGGAGTGCATCATCCCCATCCCGGGGCTTTGTTGTCCGCCATGTTGATCAAAGCAAGGCCCAGCGCGGCCGCCGGGGCCGCCGCTAGCAGGGGCAGCGCTGCCATAGTAATTATTAAACTCCGAGACGGCCGCCGGGCCGCCACCGCCGCCCCCGGGCAGGGCGACCGGCGCGGGTGGCTGCTGCGCGCCCAGGCCCGGATGCTCATAGCGGCTGCCCGCCGGCTCCCCCATCTTGGGCGGCGCGTCGTCCTCGTCGCCCGGCTTGCTCAGCAGAGGCTGGCCCTGCGGGTCGGCCTGACTGCCCGCGGCACTGTCCTTGGCGCCTCCATGTTGCGGGTGCTCCATGTCCGGGCCGGGCTGGGGCGCGCCGCCGCCCGCGCCGCCCAGGCTGTTGTTGGCAGTGGGATGATGCTGCTGCGGCGGCGGCTGTGGCGGCTGCTGCTGCTGTGGCTGCGGCGGCTGCTGGAACTGGTTTAGCTGCTGCTGTAGTGCGTGGTGGTGATGGTGGTGGTGGTGGAGGTGGTGGGCATGATGGTGATGGTGGTGGTGGGCATGGTGGTGGTGGTGCGGCTGATGGGGCGGTGCAGCGGGGGCCTCGCCAACGGCTTTCAGTTTGTGGTTGGGGAGCAGCCCGGTCTCCATGGCCGAGCCGGGGCCCGCCGAGGAGGAGGAGGAGGAAGAGGCCGCGACGGCGGCGGAGGAGGAGGACAGCGCGGTGGCGCTTCCACCCTCCTTGAGAGGCGCCTCGGAGCCGCCGCTCTGCGCGCTGTTGGAGCTAGCGGCGGCCGCGGCGCTCGCGCTATGGGCCATGTTCAGGTCGTGACGGGGGTGCAGGGGGTGGTGGTGCACATTATTCAGGCCGCCGTCGCCGCCCCCCACTATGGGGCCCGGAGCCGCCGCCACCGCGCCGCGCGCGCCCGCCTCCAGGTCCCGGGCCACGGGCGCCGGCCGCGGCCCCGAGGGCGCCCGCCGCTCGCCGCTGCCCACCCGCGCCCGCGCCGCCGCCGCTGCTGCCCGCGCGGCCATGATCGCCGCGGCGTGGCGCGGCCGGGCGGGGTGGGGGGAGACAATGTCCCCACTCGCAGTCGGCCGCCCCTCCTGCGCGCATCCACGCGGCCCGCGGGGAAGCGCGGCGCCCTCCCTCCCCTCCCCACCCCCACCCCCCCGCAGCCCCGGGCCGCCCGCCGGGGGCGCGCCTTTGCGCTCGGGGGCCCGCGCCCGCTCCGGCCTGGGCCGCCGGAAAGTTTTTTAGTTCCGCTTGCAATGAAACTTTTCTCTCTCTCTCTCTCCCTCACTCCCTCACTCTCGCTCTCTTTTTCCTCTCTAACCCGGATATGGGGGGGAAATGCACGACTTGCCTGAGCCTCTCGGGCCCAGCGCGGCGTGAGGGAGCCGGGCGAGCCGGAGCAACTATTATCCGCTTCTCTCCGAGGGCTGCTGCGCACTCGCAAAACGCGGACTGGACTCGGCCCCCGGCGCTCGCCTGCCCGCCCGCGGCCCCGCGCTCGCCCGCTCGGCCTGGCTCGCTAGACCCGGCCCGGGGGAGCGGGGGCCCAGGCTGCCGGCGCTGGCTTGCTCGCTGGCGGCCCGAAGCTGCTCTTTCCCCTCGTGCCTCCGGTCTCCTTGCCAACCCGCGTTCCTGTGTTTGTTTTCACGTCTAAAGGGAGCGCTACGAAGGTGGAAAACGAGTCTGATGAGCAGACAAAAGAGGGAGAAGGGGCTGGGAAGCAAAGTTGTCTTGTTGGGCCTCCCGAGGTGGTATGGAGCCTGCGGGGAAGGGAAACGTTTAGCCAGGCCGGCCGAGCAAAAGCATCGTCTCTCCCAGGAGTTATGTAATTTTTCACAACCTTGGCCTCTCCGACTTGATTTCAGGCCATCGGCGTTCCCACAACTTCATCCAACTGAAAAATTAGGAAACACTAAGAGAAGGTTAAGCCGTAAAGGCTGCTGTGCCCTGTACACAGCAGGCACTCAATAATTGCTTATGATTCACTACGCCAATCCCCAAGGTGATGTTTATATAACTTTTTTAAGACACCTTAAGTAGGTATGAAAACTCATAGTATTCCCCACGGAGTGTTTTTCTTATAATGCATTTGGGTGTCCTCTCAAACGTGGAGTGTTAGCTCCAGACAGCATTCAGGAGACGTGTAACTAACATATTGGTGCAAAAACAGCGACCGCTAAGGTTTATCTCATGTCTTCATAAATCTACACGACACCTTTCATCGTGTTTCAGAGGTTAATGTGTGCAATTAACCCTCTTGATATGAGTTCATTTCTAAGTAATGGGAAACAAAACCAAATAGATGTATTTAATAAACATAAAGTCAATAATAATGTAAACAGTCTAATCCCAAAGCAGAAATATGCAGTACTTTCCCCTTTTATAAAAAGATACCTATTGTTTTGGCAGTATAATGTTTTTGAACATTATTATCATAATCACCTCTTGACTGTCTCTGATACTTGGACTTCTTAACCCAAGCCATGGCTCAGTTGTGCTAGGGTGAACTGATTTGTGTTGAGAGAAAGCTTTTGAAACCAAAGCTTTCCAGAGGTCAGACTGGAGGAATATGTTACATTTGGACACAGTGTTTTCCAAAAATCCTTCTTTAGCAGCTCGTAAAAACTATTTTAGTTTATGTCAATTGCATGGACCGAGTGTAAATATTTCACAAGGCTAAATAGACAACACTAGATGTGGAGTGTGGTGTGGTAAATGAGGGGGAAGGAGAACCAGGGTTGTTACCGAGTGTAAAAGCAGATCCTGACACTGGAAACAACTGGAAAACGGGGTCTATATCCTTGCATATGAGGGAGTACCAGCCATAAGATAAATTTATGCCAAATCATCAGTTTCTGCCAAGAAAACACTACATCTTTGTGTCTCTGCCTTTTGACATTTTCCCCTTGGATCTTCTCTTTATGTATTTGAATGTATACTAATTATAGGGTTGTACCACACAAGCTGAATTCAAAGTTTCTCGTATACAAATAGAAATATATGTCTGTTTTGTGTATATGTCTATCGACATTCTAAAATCAATTACATATTTATGCTTTTAGACATTTACAGTCAAACTAAATATATACATATAATCATAAAAGTGCTTTTTTTTCAAATGAGTAAAATATAGCAAAGTCAGACGAGCCATATGTTGTGACTTATCCACAACCATGCTTAAAAGAGCAAATGAATCATCAAGTTCAGCTCTGGCCTGTTTCTTAGAAATATTTTTTTTTCATGTCAAAATCATGAAACTAAAAAATAAAATAAAATTGATAGTTAATCATGTGAGTGAAATCTCATTGAATTCCAAGTCAACTCAAAAAGTGGAACCAAGAGGCAGTAACAGAGCCCCCAGCACAGGTACCCAACCTGCTATACAGAGCGACACATGCCAGTTCTCCGTCCCCAGTGGCAGATGCCACACCCTAAAGCAGACAGACAGCCCTGCAGCCTGCAGGAGTAGAGGAACACAAAGCCAGCAGGATTTGGTTTTGTCTTTGGAACCACGGAGACTTCTAAAATGTCTTTCAAAACGAGCCTTGGCTGGAGAGGAGTGGACTCCTCTGCTTGTTTTCAACTTTCCCAACACACCCCTCAGGAAAACATGGTGAAAACCCCTTCAAGTTGCACGCAAAAACCCAGGGCTTCACAAGGAAAATGGCAGTTGTCAGGGGTCTGGCATAGAATGATGAAACAAGCTTGCCGTTCACAAAAGCACAGTTTCAACCCTTCCTTCTTTCCTTTGCCTGCACGGCAGTCCGGCCTTGCCTCTTTGGGTGCCATAGAGCAATCGGAATCGCTGCATTGGGTTTTTCTTAATGAGTTTCTTCATTTACACCTCGTGTGCCCACATCTCCAACCATAATGACAGTTGTGTTTCTGCTGTCCCCACAAGGAAGCCTTGGAGGTGGAAAGCTGCTGGTGGCTGTGCTCTGGCCCCAGCTCACGTCCCACCCACAGGGTTCTCCCCAGCCCTCCATGTGTAGTCAGAGGATTACCCATTATTTTCTTAAACATGCCTTTCCAGTTACAAAAGGTTCTCTTTCTTCCCCCCAACTATATGGAAATATTAATATTCAATACTGCTCCTTTTGAATAACTTTTAGGGCCCCAAATAAAAGGCCCTTCAACTTGCCCACTGAATGAGAATCGAGCCAGATGGTAGTTTAAGAACCCCACAGCTCTGTCCTTTTTGACTCTCCAAGGCCCATCGCACTGTTTGCTCTTAGATTAGTCCCTTTTCACTGTTCTTATTTACCCGGCGACTGAAGCTATCACGACTCACTGCCCGTCATATTTCTCAGTATTCTTTCCGTAATTTGGAAGCAATTTGGAATAAAGCCCTGTCAAGGTTTTACAAATAAGAACTATTGAAGACTAAAGCTTTGGATACTTGCTTTCCTTTTAGATTTATGAGAGATGCGATGAATGGGACTAATGGGATTTCCCTACTGGTCTTGGTCAGGGACTTTAAAAAGCACTAAACAATTGTCCTATTCACTTCTGCGATTTAGACGTTAGTGGTGAACAACAACTCAGAGTCGGTGCAGGGTGTGGGCTCTACAGTGTCGGATTGGAAACAGCTATGCAAATCATCCCTGGCCTGTAAGTTCAAATGCGAAACAGTTAGGGAGGATCGAGGGTTGAGCGGACCGGCAGGAATGGGCAACAAACAATTTAAAACGGTTTGGCCAACAGCAGCACTATTATATTTGTGAGGAGATTAAAGTGGGCACAGTGCACGGGATGGGGATAAATTACACTTGATCCTTCAACAGACTTGCCTGGCATCTACTTCCTGCCGTGCCCAAAAGAGAAAACCGTGTTACCTTTGCCCAGTCCTGAATAGGGAACAACTATTACATGGAAACACAGTGAAGTCAGCCCCTCAGTGTTCCAGAGGCCTTGACCAGTGAAGAACTGAGCTTAGATTTCCTCACCGAAGGGCACCTAATGGAGCTGTCCATTGTTGGCAGCCCCTACCGGGCATCTAACCCTCCGTCCTCACAGCTCTGCCAACACTAAGACCACCAGTCCTAGGCTGAGCTTCCAGAAGCCTATGTCCAGTTTGTCATCAGGGCAGTAGGGTTTGTCTCCAGTGGCTCTGGGAACACAGGAGCAGCAGTGACCGAATGAAGAAACACCTGACTGCATTTTAATGTGTTGCTTGTTATCAGCTCTGTATTTGGAGCGATGTGTAATAAATATTTTTATTACAGTCTAGAGCGCCAGTGTTGTATAACTCTTAGACAAATGTGTGTCCACTGGAGCCCCTTTTGTTTTCATGGCGGTCTTCACTCATTTTTAAACCATCACCAAAAGTTACAGGCTATTGCTGTTTCTCAACATTCTCCCCTAGCCAGGAGTACTGGCAGAAACCAGTAACCCCAACTGCTGGGGAGGCTGAAGCCTAAGGATCATAAGTTTGAAACAACCTCTCAAAGACCCTGCCTGAAAAATCAAAAAAGGGTGCTGTTACAGCTCCGTGGTAGAGCATGTCCGAGGCTCGGGGTTCACTCCCCATTACTGGAAGAGCAGTGGACGGGTTCTTTCGTTGGCTGTTGTTACTGGGCTCCCGCGATTAATAAGCTGCTACTTGTGTTGAGCCACTTTATAAATCAGTCTAGTTCCTCAAAAATAAATACTTGGCTAGTAAACGTATTTGATACAATAATGTATAATAATTACTTATACAAGAGGAAGTCCTTTGGGAATCTAATCAACTTTTTTTTTTCCACAAGAGAAGTTTCTGTGACTTAATCCAAGGGCCTTCCGGGTCTTTCTCACAGATGTGATTAATTGCTTTATAGTACATATGGACTTTGAAAATAAAAGCTATTTTTCAAGTACAATAAATTCCAAATGGGCCATATGCACTAATGTGGCACATTCCGCATCTTCATTTTCAGCTGTTGCTATTCGCTTGCTCTGTGCCTCATTCCACTGTGAAAGC